ATAAGAACATGGAAGCTAATATTTTCCAGGAATGGTTTGAAAACACATATATATATAATATGTTTTTTTCCTCATCCAACTATCGCACCCCTACGAACGACAACCCTTAGAAATAGAAACTTGTGCGAGCTAAAAACTAACGATGTCTTACCTTTTAACGTGTGATTCCTAACACAGCAAGTGAAAATTGAGGATTCAGCCTCAGGCTTGAACCATCGACTCACACGGCCGAATGACTGAGTGAACAAACCACCCACGTCGAATCGCCCGGCTACCGACCGAATAGGCCAGTTATTACCGGAAGATGATTGTTGATAATAACAGTCAGAAAGTTATAAAGTAGCTTGATTTGAAATGATTTTTTTCCCGCGAACATTTTCCTCATTTATATATAGTTTCACATTGTTCATACATTATTGCGCCGCAACAAAATGTAGGTACAATCTGGAATTACTTCGATAAAATATTACCCAATTGGATGATTAATATTCAGTCCCCAAAGATGTAAATATGAAAATCAATACATATTTAGCCATGCATTTTGTTAACCATGTAATTCATGCGTTACTTTCGAAAAGTACTGTATAATATTTGTGTAATGACCTTTATGTGGAACGCATATCTTCAAAAACTTTTTTTTTCAGAATTTACTGAATGAAGCACCCTCAGATCCGACTGTGATAATCTTCCCTGACGTATCCAGCAACACAATGTCTCTAGTACTGGACTACATATACACCGGTAATGTCGTAGTCTACTCAAACACAATCCAGGACTTTATTAGCCTAGCCGCTCTCCTTAGAATTCAGCTGGATATTGGCTTAAGCCAAATGTTACCAGAAAAAGACAACCTAATCCAACAGAATGACCAAAAATTCGTGAAAAAAAACGGGGAGTTGGGTTCGCAAAGCGATGTGGAGTTTTACAGCAAGAGAAATCAAAGGAAGTTACCGAAGTTGATGCCTCTCCATCGGTTTCGAATTCAAGAAAAGCAAGCGATACAAAGAAAAATGTGTAATTATGTTTTACCTAGTCCTTGGTGTCCCAGATTGAACGGATTATATGGTGATCCAAGGAACACGGAGTTTAGTCATGGAGAAAATCGAGTGAGTAGTTTTTTGTAGATATATTATAAAAGCAAACATTATTTTTGTATAATTATGACGATCTCTGCAACATACAATGCTGCACAATGTCCTTTTTTATATTATTGATTCCTTAAAAAATTGTGCATTGGTGCATTTATATCGGTTACTGCTTGACCTATATCTGATGATTTGAAAGATGAATATATTTGAGATTCATCTGCATGAAGATGATATTTATAAAACTTCAACTTCTTGAAAAATGTATCAGTATAGAGGGTATAGAAAAGTGGGTCTGAATTGCTGCCTTGGGGTACTCCTTTTTCAACTTCTCTCCAGGTGAAAGAAATATCATGAATCAGCACTTTTTGTAATCTATTATCTAGATAATATGATATCAACATTACTCATTCATTACTGAACTCAAAAAAATGTAATATAGTACAGAGTATTTCATGATTGATGGCGTCAAATGCTTTTGAATAATCCAACAGGATGGGCTTGTTTCATGCTATGGAAAATGATACTGGTTTGCTTATAGACTGATCGAGTTAGGGGTATAGTATACTTATCAAGCCTAATCGGTCCCAAAATCTCTTTATATTTGCAGAAAAAGAATAATTCGAAAAGCAAGAATTTAAATTGGCCGCGTGTCTGTTGACCAATAAAATTAATCGTATCTACAGCGCAGTTGCCAAGTGTATCAAATCACAGATCTGATGATCCAATTTGACAGACGCCATTTTTGTTGTTATTGTTGTCAACTCGGTGTGAATACAACTATTACAATTATCTGATTAAAAAACGTTTTTTTTGTAAAAGCGGGTGCCTATTTTGCTGCTTATTCCGTATCATTAGTTCACATTCCGAACAATATTTTTTCAGATTATTTTTGGATTGATATTTTCTGGAGTCATTCTACATTTCACTGTACATATTTTTGCTTCTCTTTTCAGTCACCATACTGCTGCTTGGTCGAGATGAAATAAAAATTAAATCAAATCTTCCCATCCTTCGATAAAAGACAAAGTCTGAAATGAATGTCATATAAATAAAAGGGACCTACTAATATACCACCTACCGTTTCAATTGTTCATTCTTCATTTCGGTACCAAATGCAAATTTTTCAAGTAAAATTCATCGATCATTTCATAATCGACTCTTGGTAAGTTGTCGGGAGGGCGCTGGCTGACTGGATGATAATATGGCTAATATACCAGTAACGTTGAATTTCTTATTTTTGGTGGGTGCCATGGGTGGCATGTCATTTAAAAATACAGTTCTGTCATTTCTATTCAGAATCATATTCAGATATAACTTGTACTATATCAGTTACCAAGGCAAATATTATTGTCCATTTTTATGCTTAATTCGTGGATTCGAGCGATCTTATTGCATATTTATTTGTTTGCTGGCTTTATTCAGAAGAAAATGAATGAATAATTACAGAAAATGTGGCCCGAAATTCAGGTACTCAATTAAGTTAGAGGCCTCTGTTATTACTTACAGTGATGTATAGATGTATAAGAGTTACTATTATGAATTATATCAGTTTATTGTATTCGTTTGAAAATGCCCGTATAGGACCGAACTGCAGTAACGTTAGTTACAAATACAAGTAGTATAAAACATAGGAAGTGTTATTTTCCAATTTTCGTGATGATCTCCTAGCCCGTAGTACCTAACGGCTACCTCCATCAATTTATACAATTAGTTAAAAAATTCAATTTGGTGGGGCTTTTAACATAATTATGCAAGACAATCTTATACACTTTCAACAAGATGAAGCTCCAACCTATTACTTTCTTCTAGTTAAACAGAGGGTTGATGACAGATTTCCTGGCAGATGAACTGGTCGAAGAGGGGCAATAGCATGGCCACCACGATCACCTGCCCTATCGCTACTAGATTCCTTCCTATGCCCACATAGCAATAGATATTCCAGGTATATTTCATGAATATACATTTAAGGATATTGTATTATGCTATGAATATGCCATGGATATATATATCTTCTGGAGAATATTCCCTGGGAGTGCTCCTGGCGAACCTTTGATATATTTTAAGAATATTCCTTGGGAATATTCTTAGAATATCTTATAATATTCTTAGAATATCCAAGGTATATTCTATTAAGAATATTCCAGGAATAGAACCCGAGGAATATTCATAAAATATTCAGGATATTCTTAGTTTATTGTAGGAATATACAATAGAGAAACACCATAGAATATTCTTTAAATTTATTTTATGAATATTCTAGGAATATTTGGAATATTCCAAGAATGTGACGAGTAACCGCTATTAGGCATGTATATATTGCATTTTGATACAAGATTCACACAAGTAATAAAACACATAATATTCATAAACAAATATATTTTAAAAACAATATACACTGAAATATTTGGCGTTTCAACCAATATTAAAAATAAAAAATCTAATTCAAAATATTTATTCACTGAATAAAATATTCCTGAATACTGTCATATTACAAATATTAAAAATGTATTCAAATTAGGATGTTCCTACTCTCAAACAAATGTATACTAAAAAATATACTAAAATTAACAACTCTGTGAATTCATCAGCACTAATTAAAAAATAATAAATATATCATTTCATTGAAAAAGAAAAAGTGTATTACATCAAGAAAAAGGTTAGGTTAGGTTTCTCACTTAGAAAAATAAACCCACAAATGAAGTATTTAAAATGAGTGGTATGATGGGTTCTTCAATGAATTTCACTTACTTAAAGTTATTCAAACTTTGCTCACCAGAATAGTTTTCCTTATATTTGTCCAACAATGCATCAGCCAGTGTTTCAATAGTAATACCTGGAACAAAATGTACATTAACGTTCATTATCACTATTTGAAAGTGGCACAATAAAACTGGAATAAAAATCAAATAGATAGTTTTCGCATAGGTTACTCATGAACATTTACAACATTTTATGACTTGGAGAGCAACTTGCATTGTCTTGTTGAAAAGTAATCATTACGTTTTCAGTTTACTATCGATACTATTGCATTTTACTTACTTTTCTTGAAGACTGAATAGATGCAACTCTCCTGTTTGAAGATCCACAATCAAACTATTCGCTGTACTGCAAATTGGACAACCCCAAATTATAAATGGTACACTGAACGTGACAGAATTATGCTTTGATAATAACACCAACACATCATGCATTACACACGCGAACCTGCCACGTCAACCGCCATGTTGAATCAAATGTCGAATTTAACGCAAACGCAAATGTACCATGCATTAAGGGACAGCCGCTTTCACAGAGCTTATTCGACTGTCGCGCGCTACACTTCAATTGACCAATGAGAAACGTTTACTCCAATTATTCACTTCCCCATTTCTCTGTTTCCAGGATTTTTCGCTTTGTAATTAAATAATTTCAAATACAAAAAGACAAATAGGATGAGAATTAACCAATTTATTGATGCAATTGGTTCATTTATTGGCCCATTCAAATTTTTTTGTCGTTTCCAACAGTTGCTGTTGGAGCAATTCATCCAGAATCTTTGCGTTGAGTTCAAAAACTGGTTAACACTATCAGGGTTATATACATTAGGTTATGCATTCGATTAAGATCTTCAAATATTTTTGTTTTTAATAATATTGAATTATTTGAATACGTTATTATAAGATAATTCAAAATTCCATTGTATAGAATATTCCAAAATATACCGTGGGGACATATTCTAAGAATATACCATATGGTATATTCGATCGACAATATTCTTAGAATATTCAAGGGAGAATAATCCATTTATAGACATTCTATGCACATTCTTTCGGGAATAATCCTGCCATATTCATTCAAGCATATTCTATGAATATTCTAAAGGTATGTATATATTCCAAGAATATTCTATGAATATTTGGAATATATACGTTCGTTTTATGATATACAGGGAATATTCCAAGAATATCTAGTGCTGTGTGGGTGAGGGCATCTAAAATCGATTGTTCATACAACACAGCCTGAAGATTTGGAAGATTTGAACTAAATAATAACAGCTGCGTGTATAAAACTTCAGGCGGTGTGTAGTAATGTATTTTGGGAGCAGACTTCATCATTATCAAACGGTTTGTTTGGGTCAAATTTAGTATTTGAAGTTTGACTTCATTACTGTTGACAGATTGATCCAATATTTGGTACACACATTTACTTTTGATGACAATACAATTCAATAAATTCTGTATCATTGTGAATCGAAGCTGGCCGCAGCTACAAAATGACGGATTATATATTTTTTTACAACAACCTCAATATAATGGGTATCAAATAACAGTGCGTGACTAGTGGAATAGTAGTACACTTTGGAAAAGATGCAATTTCAAAATGGCAGCAGCCACAAAATGGCGGATTACATATTATTTCACAACTACCTCCATATGGGTATCAAATCACAGAACTTGACTAGTAGTGCACTGTGAAAAAGATGCAAATCCAATATAATCTATACGAAGGAGTTTGTCAACACAGAATCGACATATAAGCATGAATCTTCCAGCAATCTACGATATTGATCAGATGAAAAAAAATAATAAAATTGTTGGGCGTAGTGCAACCTGAGTAAATATGTGAATACTACGCCCAATACCGTAGATTGCTGAGGAAAGTGGTGTGATGATAGCTACCTAGGACCTTTCGAATATTTATTCAGCTTTCAGTACATTATATCTATGGTACAATTCCATAATAGTGGGCACTGAATTATCTGGAATATTATTGCATTAATTTGAAAACATTGCTGTGAATGTTATGACCCTATATATTTTATCATAATTTTTCCTCAACTGTTTACTATAATTTACTCATTTTATTTTTTAAATAATAATGGACAATATATCGAACATTCAATATAATAAATTGCCTTCCATTAATCCTTTGTTTTATTGCTAAACACTTGAAGATCTTCACGGTTTCATTTGCTTCCTCTGAAAATACTAAAAAAATTCAACCTCACCTTAAATTTGAGATTTTTGGAATTGTATCCACCTCCGCTCGAAGATTGATGTAATTTAATTAAGAATTAGCCTACAAAATGCCCGCTCAATAAAACTGAAATTGACACCCTGTATATAACTATTTGTAATCTCAAGAATTCTTCAAAAATCGAAGATCTGTTTTATTAACGCTTTCCCACGAGTTTGACCTTCTTCAAATTTCTCATTGTTCGAATTTTCTGTAATGAGCACAAATAATAATACTTGAACTCATTTCCTCATTGGTAAAAATAAACCTTTGCGGGCGTTTCTACCAATTTACTGTTAGGAGATACGCACTTTATTCAAATATTCACTAGATTCGAATGGACTAGGTATATTGAGCGAAGCTTACTTTCGGCAAGTTAAAGGCACTATTTACCACATTTTTTCGGGCATTTAATCTTGCTCATAAATCATTCATGAGGCCTAATCCAAGCTGGAAAAATGAAAAAGCACCGTTTTAAGAACTTCTCAAGTGGCAATATATATACAAGAGTTAATGTCCATACCAATAGATTTTTACGAGTTTTTCAACTTTTGGAATCGAATTGATATAGGCGGTGTCGGTAAAGTCGACCAGAGGAAGTGGGTTAATAGACTTAGAATAAGGTTGATGATATTTGAAAATGAGAAGTATTTCCAATAGGTATTTTTAAACATTCATAGCGAATGAAAATGATTTCTCTGACTAGGAATATCCGTAACTTTCAGATTATTCAGTCAAAGAGAGAAACTATTGTTATAGTCTGCTAAGCTTTCATTCAATTAGGAAAAATGAGTATAAGAATAATTCAAAATGTTTACTCACAAAAAATAAGTGTAAAAGATCGATACTTATCGTTATCTATTGTGGTAATAGTCGAAGTAAACGATATTGTGAATACTTGGAGTTGGCGGCACTCTCAAAGGCCAAAAAACCAATACATAGAAATGAACCGCCTGCGAAATAATCCACGTGGACTGCAGAATTGGCGGTTCGTATTGGATAATTTTTACTAACTGAGCTTTTGAGCAATTTGAATGTTGCAATTCGATATTGATGCAGTTATAATTACTTAAAATTTTTGTTATCTGTTCTAAATGTGGCGTCCTTGGACAAGTAATAACGAGTGTGATAACAACGCAGACTTTTCCTGTGTAGTGATTCCAATAGTGATGGTGAACAATGCGAAAAAAGATAAGTATCAGTGAATAAGATTCGGATGCATTTGAATATTAAAACACAGAGAGTATGTTTCAATGTATATAAGAATATACATCTCAAAGGTAAACAAACTATCACAAACAACATCAGATTTGATCGAAATTTTTTTCTCAACTGTACGTAAAATAGTCCAAAACAAACCTTATGAACGCAAGACGCGATGTGATACAGGATTACCGAAACCTCCAGATGCTCATCTGATAAAATCATTGAAAAAAACAATATACGACTGTTACAAAAGCAATGAGATTCCTACAACTGAAATCATAACAAAGAAATTGAATACTTCCAGTCATAACGTGAGCTGCTGTGATAAAACTCTTCAGAATTGGATACAGAAACTAGGATTCAGATTTAAAATAATGAACAAACGTAAAGTAGTTTTGGAAAGCAGAAGAATAGTGGGATTGCGTAAGAAATACTTAGAAAAATTACTATATATTGACAAGAACAACGGCAAATTTTCTTTGGACAACACTTGTTATGAGACTCACGACACAGTTACGAACGGGTGGACTGATGGTTCGAGAATGTGTACGCCTAACATGCCTGCAAACAAAGGATCGCGACTAATCATGGTGCATTGCGGAGGAAATAAAGGATGGGTTCCGAATTCTTTGAAATTATGTGGAAAAAACTTGAGGACTGCAATGTTGACCGTCTTAAGAACATGGAAGCTAATATTTTCCAGGAATGGTTTGAAAACACATCGATCCTAAATTTGGATGCCAATAGTTCTTGACAACGCTTCCTACCATTCGCGACAGCTCATCAAAGTACCGAATAAAAATTTGAGGAAAGATGAAATACAAAAAAATTGTGAGGGAATCTTCCAAAGAAAGGAAGGAAGTAATCAATTTTGAAATAAGTAACTCTATACATAGATGTGTAGATCATGCAAAGAAGTAACTTTCAGTAGGATGTACGAGCGAATAGGTGAACCAGTTCGTTAAATACTTTGACACATCGGTAAACCAATCAACACTTCACAGGTCTATTATATTTGCGTCCTTAAAATGCCATAACTAGTCATTCGGTTTCTTCATTATCAAGCGTCCTTATCTGCATAGGCGTAGTGTGTTCTGTTTCTTGTGAAGGTGACTTTGTTTTGTATTAAATATAATTTATTAAATAGACTGTTATATTTATTAACTTTAAAATATAAGATAGAGTTGGCCAATACTTGTTTTTCAAAATACATTATCATAGATTTTCATTACATTCACACTTTATTGTGAGATAATTAGTTGACCAAGTCATTAAACTCAGGTATAAATTGTTCGTTAAACTCAGGTATAACTGTCATTAATTAGTTCCTAGAATATTATTAGTTTCTATCTAGATAGTAATATTTCAAAAAGTATATATAAATCACAATGTATGTAGAATTCAGTTTGTTAGTGAACACGCTTGAAAAAGCTACTGTGCAGCGAAACACCTGTTGAGGATTTGTTAATATGTTCTAGTGAAAATCTCACAGTAAAGTGTTTTTCAAAATACATCAACTTCAAAATAGTTTTTGAGATAATTGAACAACTGACAAATAGCTGAATAATATGATTGCATTTTATTATTTTTGTAGTATTAAGATGGATGACGTAGCAGGTCCAAGTAATGTACAAAGAAAGCGGAAGTATATGTCGTTATAAGAAAAACAGATTGTCTGTAGAGTGTACGAAAAATTAAAAATATACTTCGTACACTGGAAGCTATAGCCCAGTGTTCATTTTTAACGGGAATATCCGTGTCGACAATTGAACGCATTGTACGTGAAAAAAAGGTGACTGGGGTTGTGCAAGCTCCAAAAGTACATTGGACAAGTACCAGAAAAATTTTGTACGCTATACCCATTCATTCTTTCTTTTTTGAGAATACCCAACCCCTCGAATCCATTAGGACAAAGGTAATGGATAATGATCTCATTCCAAAAATGATTTGTGGACGAGTCGAGCCAAATTCGGTAATAGTTATGGATAACGCTTCTTATCACAGTCGATTAGTAGAACAGCTGCTAACTATGACCACCAGAAAAGCAGACATGCAGAGTTGGTTAGGACGAAAAGGAATTTAATTTTCTGAGGACATGGTTAAGGCCGAGCTTATGAGTGTCATTAAACAGCATCGTGACAGATATCGCCAGCATGTGGTGGATACAATAGCTCGTGCTGTAGACATCAACATTTTGAGATTTCCTCCTTACGTAGTTCGTGAAAACGTGACATATAAAATTTCTGATGTCCAACGTTTATTAGAACTCTCAATGGAACGGATACGGAAAGAAGATTGGGCTAATGCTGTCGCCCATGTGATCAAGGAAGAATAGAAAATGTGGGCATTGGACGGAATGGTAGACACTTAAATCTATTATTATTTGGTTTTCGACCAAATAATAATAGATTTAAGTGTGCCTGGGGATTCCTTTTCGTACGAGTTAATGGATTCTGAAACTTCATAAGCATAACATAGGTAATTATTTCCTTGCTTTGTAGTTCTCTTTCTATATAAAAGGAACATAATAATTATTTTATAAATTTTTCTGTTTTTTTGAAGTACTGTATTAGTCATAATGTAATCAGTTTTACCATTGACACCAGGTAGCGCCACCTACTATAACAATTTTTACGTAATTACCTACGTGTTTGAATAAATAAAAATATTATTTTGGTACGCCTCTGCAGAGTTGGTAAGAGAATTACCTGTTGGTCACCGCAAGTGCGACGTTGCTAATGAATCACCTTCAATTGAAAATTGTTATAGTATAAATTAGATTTGAAAATTATATAATAACAACACTTCCAAAATACAAATCATGAAAGTATAAAACAACAAAAATTAACTGGCGCTCCAGAGCGACTTCATTGATTCCAGTGGCGTATTTGCTTTTTCAGCTTTAGGAAAACCCGGAAAAACTTGCAGCACCACATCATCTGAAGATCTTGATCTGTCAATGTTCTCTCTCTATAAAACAAAATGTAGGGTGTCTCCAGAGACACTATCGTCAAACTTAAACCAGCCCGTTTCTTCTTTGACCAAGGCATAGTAATGACCAGATTCAACGCCAGAACCACAGTGAACAATGGCTGTATGAAGATTATAATAGTGGTCTGCTAGCTTGGAGTGTTCATCTATTTCGAACCTTCGCAAGAGTTTGGTGCTTCCGTCGGAGATTCCGTTACTTGTTTTCTTATAGCAGTCAGTCAGCTTGGCGCATGTTTGGCTATACAGTCGATCATTACCTGTTAAAAGTTCCATCTTCAGGTTTTCGCGGCACTACCAGATGAGTCTCCATGTCATGATTGGTTCTCTCATTTCGTTAAGACCCCAAATTAATATTCCTTGTACATAGCTTGATAGCATACACTTCAGCCGGAAAGACTAATGTTTACTGACCCAGCGAGTAACTGAAGTGTAATTTCCCTATCCCGGAGTAAATTCCAGGTTCCCTCATATGTTCGGGACGGGAGTTGAATTGAAATCTTAGGAAGTTGACAGTGAGTATTCAAAAATAAGCAAATATGTAAAAACTAGGAATCACTCGTTTGATGATTAATGGATTTGAGAAAGGCCTAACGCGATAATAATATATAGAGTCGCTTCCGTCAATTTTTCAATTCCAGAGGTATAACTGATGTCATCACGATCTGAATGGAAGGTTGTTAATTAATTTCTCTGAACATTTTCATTCCTTCAATATTATTCTTACAATGAGTAAAATAATATCCAGTTAAAATGTCTGATAAAAACAGGGAAGTATTCAAGGTTAGTAGATAGATCAAATATTGAATGGAATTGGCGGATCCTTGATGAACACCCATATTAAAACTACCTATTGAGATTAATTTTCAATTTCACTATAAAAGGTTCATAAAATAAACCTTATTAGTGAGTTTTGATAAATCAAATTGAGAAAAATTTTATGATTTTTATTCCGTACAATTAAAATATGCACTACTAGATTGAATCGTTGAGATTTTAGCTTTTTTACCAATGCACGTCATCCGTTCATCTCTTCAAAAATCCTCCAGAAGATCTATCGAAAAAAAAATGCAACATTTGATTTTTTCATTGATGGTATTATGCACCATGGTTTTACTATGAAAGTCATTATTCCTGATCTTTTTTACCTTTTTTATTCCCGAGAAACTGCTATTGTTCATGGAGCTATGTCTGAATTGGCCTTATCAATAACAATTAAGTGTAGTAGGTAATTAATTCTTCAAAGTTAGTTTGAATTTCATTTGGATAGAATGTATTTTTTTGAATTGACACCTTGTATATTCTATTGTATACAACAATACAGCTGTGAAAGCTATTTTCCGGGTTTTTTGGCTGTGGTGTCCAGGTTTAAAGTCTGACGTTTCGAGTACTACTGAGGTAGACATTATCAAAGGCGGTTTGGTAACGGTCGCAGTACCCGAGTTGATGCTTCCGTTGTCCCAAACGTATTAACTACGAAGCTAATATTTGACACTGATTTCATAATATTATTAGTGAGCGTGCTTTGGTTTCTCTTAATTGGATTTTCTGACAGATAGCCAGAAGATGTTCAGTGCCACGAAAAAAGGAAAACAATTGAAAAATGATGTTCTTTGATTGTTCTTCTTTCTTTTTTCGTGAATTGTTCACATTACGTTTCAAATAAAATGTGAATTGAAAAACGAAACAGTTGTTTTTCCTCTAATAGAGCGCCAAAATGAAAAATTAAGTAGCGAACACTCACATGTCTGAATTACTTTTTCAATGCTGTGTCACCCTTAGTACTTTCCCTAATCAAATTGTATGAGTGAACAAAGGGTGGGGAGAGAAGTATGACAGTTGAGGTAACGATAGGATTTGTCCCCCTTGGATTTAAAATTGACGTGTTTTTGCATTATGCTGACAACACATGTGTTTTGAAGAATTCGTTTTCGATGTCGGGTTAAATCGATTCATAATTACAAATTTCGTTCGCCATTTTGGAGCCACCATCTTGAAAAACATTTCATAATTTCTGACCCTTAAAACCACCACTTATCAATTTTGAGTCAAATAGGACCATAATTGCAAATCTCGTCCGCCATTGTGAAGTCGGCATGTTGTTTTTTCCCCTAGAAAAACTCCATAATGCATTGTCACCGAATTTATGTCAAATTAGCTTGCGAATGAAGTATCATAATTTGGAATACGGAACAGTTTTTTTCCCTCAAGAATGGTGCCAAAATCGAAAGTTAGGTAGCTAAAATTGATATGGGTGAATTCCTTATGAAATTACCTTCTTAACGAATTGTCACACTACTTTCCTATTCAAATTATTTGGGTGATAGTCACCGAGGGGTGGGGGAAGAGGTACGACAGTTGAGGTTATGATAGGAAGATGTCCCGCTTGGATTATAAATCGACGTGTTTTTTCATTTTTTTCAAAACATATGTGTTTTGAAGATATTCGATCTGTTTCGTTTTCGGTGCCCCACCATGTATAATGAAATCGTAATTCGAAGATTTTATAATATTCAATTAACTTAATTTCACTTATAATATATTCAGAACTATATTGCTAAGAGATTGGTTCTTGTATTTTTCTTCTTTCCTGGATACAGTTACTGTGGTGCTTACAAAATACCTTTGATTTCTTGCAGATTTCTTCGCCAATCCACCATGAAACACCAGAAAACGATTCCAACAATAACATACAAATGAAAACATCATCAGATCATTACAAAACAACCAGCGTGAGCCCGAGTTTTCAAAACCTACGTAACCCCAGTTCATCGAAGGGCTATAATACAGAACTATACGCTATTAGAAATGTACACAACGGTTCAACTTGTACCGTATCCCGATCACCAGATAATTCTTCCACGACTATTATGGAAAGCTGCAGGCCACTAAACCTGGGAACAAAATTGAAGAAGGTGGAAAATATTGTCGACTTGAATACCATATCACCAGAAGTTCTTTCGCAGTCTCTCAAACCACCAAATCTAGAAGTGGTTGGTACTCGAAAGAAACCTGAAATCGTGAATAATCTAAACGAAGCAAAACAGAATCCCATACAAGCGGATATAGCCCTATCAAAAAGTGTCACCTTGATCGATTTTGAAGGAGCGAAAGAAAAAATCCGATTGCCTTCGAAAGACATTGGCTCAGATCATTCTTGCAGTATTGATGGCGAAGAAGACATGGACGGTAGACTGACGAATAAAAGACGTCCTAAAGAGAAACTTTATAAGTGCGAGGATTGTGAGAAGTCGTTCAGTCAACTGAGAAATTATAAATATCACAGGTGAGTTTAAATTACATGCGATCTCAGAAGGGTATTACTATTGTGTCGACCATTAGATTTTATTGAATGAATAATACTCCTGTGAAATAGGTGATAATATTGATGTAAAGGTGAAGCCAAATTAATTTTTGGAAATGAAATTTCAAGTATGGTAATACCTCAAGGAACAGTCACAGGGCCTGTCCTTTTCATACTTTATTGCAATGATTTGAATTTCGTTATTTCAGATGCTATTATGTATGAGGAAAAACTCTTTTAATATTAAGAAAAAACTATAATTCTTCAAGAGGAAGTAATGCTTCTTTAAATAACTCAGTCTCTTGATTTAGCGGGAGAAAAATCCTCTTTGGTACGTAAAAATCAACTTCCGCTATTCTGATACTTTGTCACCTGTTGGAAGAGCGGCTCTCCAATGAGTTATGAAGAATATTTCTGAAACATATTTTTCCAGTGATAACAGTTCAGATCAGTTAAACGCATAAAAATCTTTCGCCAATTTGGCAAATATATATAATGATTATGTTTGTGGATTTATTTATCTTACTCGTTAATTGTGAAATTACATCAGACATAGATTGACAAAATCTAAAATCAATTTTTTTTTATTTTTGAAAAAGTTGTATGGGCCATGATTAGTAAAATTTTTCATCTCCAGTTTTATGTAGGGTGCATTATGAAAATCTTGAAAGCTGCTGAGAATTTTCTCTCACTGAAAGACTTTTTTATCAGATAGAAAAACGAACTGACAATGAAGACTGTTAGGTCCTTCAGAAAATAGGAATATTGAATTCAGTAGTGTTCATGTTTCATCATAGGCCGATCATTTACCTATGATGCTGATGAAATATTTGAAAACGCATCAGCTATTTTTATAAATTCATGAGTAATTCCAGTAGAAAGCTTTGTTTCATACAGATCTTCCTTTTTTGAATTCTCATATACATCCGTAAGTTTGTACTGTACAGTACATTTTTAAAGAGAAACTCATGTTTCCAAACTGAATAGATAAAAACTGATGGCCTGTGTCTGAGAGTAAATTTCATGACAAACTCAATGGTGAAAACTGCATATCGATATCTATCATCGTTTCTGAGTTACAACATGTTTTTCGAAAATGTGTATTTTCGAAAAGTTGCCATTACTTGTCTCTAGGAAAACATTTCCGAAGAACTTTTTAACGTAGAACTCAACGATGTAAAGCGTATTTCTTCAAATGAGATATCAATAGTTAATGGTGAAAAACCATTGTTTGAGACACCCTGTGTATTCCTACATATTTCAATAGAGCTGATGATTGTGTCACTTGAAATGTAACATTTCATTCTTCCACTTTGTTTGCCAGACAATCTGAACACAAAAAACAGATTTTGCGAATTCTTTCTTGTAGATTATAAAATACCAATTATTCAAATTTATATTTACTATTTTCGCAGATCTGGGGTTCCCCAGAACAGTCTGCAGCAGTACTCCTAAACAATCAAAATCAGAATGCTGAAACCTATTCAGACTCCATATTGTTTATATTGATTGATTTTATTCATTTTACAGTTAGGTTTACAAATTGACAACAACTACTCTGCTTCTTTTGTTCACTCGTAGACTTGTTTTTCATAGTGAATAAAGTAGAGTGAGAACTGGGGTACAGTCATAGATATCTCTACTTTCAGTAATGGCATATATAGAATCGGGGGACTCTACTTATGAAGGAACGGATGTACTAGGTGGTAGCATTGCCTGATCTTTGAACCAATTCCTGGTTTCGCCTGACAACGGTGATTTAGGTGACAATTTTTGAGTATCATCTATTCTTATTATTCTGGAGACTGCAGAGCAGACTTTGGCAGAGCCGTACTCTTACCATCTGACCTGAAAGACCACTTATCATAGAAACTAATTGGCTTCGTTGAGAAGCTGGGTTTATTTAGTCGAGTATCAATAGGTGTGAGCTACAATGAACTCTTGTGGGTTGCGGTGGAGGATCGAATAGACCCAGTCACTTTTGACCTAACCTAATCTTGATAGTTTCTAGAAATAGGATTTCTATCAGGAGTTCTTGATTGTTTGAAGGTGATTGACAATGTTTCGTGATGAATTTCACTAGTTCGGACTTCCATTGTCTACTATATAAAATGATTTGAAATCCCTGAAACAAGTAAAAAAGAATAATTAAAAAAGAATAGTTGAAAATAACAATTATATTAAGCAACAATAAACCTGAAATGAAATG